GCGGCAGTGCATGCAGGGGCTGGGTCCGCAGCCTCAGGCTGGGCGGCAGTGTACTTGGGCTGGGTCTGCAGCCTCAGGCTGGGCGGCAGTGCACTTGGGCTGGGTCTGCAGCCTCAGGCTGGGCGGCAGTGCACGCAGGGGCTGGGTCTGCAGCCTCAGGCTGGGTGGCGGTGCACACAGGGGCTGGGTCTGCAGCCTCAGGCTGGGTGGCAGTGTACTTGGGCTGGGTCTGCAGCCTCAGGCGGGGGCAGTGCTCAGCAGGCACTGGGGTAGTCCGTTCCCCTGAAACTCCCCCTTGGCCACAGCGGCATCAGCAGCAGGCTGCTCTTCCCTCTCAATCTCTTCAGGGTCTCTGCAGAAGCAGAGGTCGGGCGTGGACTCCCATGGGTGTTCCTGGGGGATGGTGTCACACATGCCCAGAACTCCCTGCGCCAGCAGCCACCTCTTCAGGCCCACTGAGCGAGCTCCCTTGTTGCACGGGATGGCGACTTCCACACAGCGCAGAGGAGAATCTGCGTTCCACAGAGCAATGGGCAGTGGGTTAGCACAAGACGCCTCTCTGAGAGGCCGGTGATCGCCCGGGGATCAGTAGCCACCAGCAGACGTGTTTCCCGGAAGGCGGCCTGGATCTGGTGAGTGAGGGTTCCAGGACAGAAGCGGCCAGCAGCTGGAGTGGCCCCAGTGGCAGCACAGCCCACTGGCCACTGTTCCTGGAGCACGACAGGGACCTCAGCAGGGTTCAACAGCAACAATGGCATGAGCTGCCAGCAGCAGCTTCTCCCAGGTCCCTTCAGATTTCTGACAGAGATGCCACCACTGTTCCTTCTGTGGATATACTGCTCTATCTGGAAGCCAAGGGTGGTGCCGCCTGCGTGGGCTCCTACTGCAAGGAACTTGAGGACAGCCTCGTCCTTCATGGGCAAGATGTCAAGGGCTCCAGGCATCGTGACACTGTGAAGGTTTCCCTTTAAGTCACCATGGAAAGCCTGCATGGACTCCTCTGCAGGCAGCATGGCAAGCAGCCCCAAATATCTCAATACTACAGCTTACTAGAACGGCACTCCTGACAAACTGAGGCGAGAGACGCACAGATTGAAGGCGAGAGGGAGAAGGGTGTGAAAGCACTGACCTGGGGCGGGTTCAGACGAGAAGCCAGGGAGATGCTGTGAGCCTCGGAGCTTCCGGACGGGGAGCCACTGGCTCCATCAGCGTGAGTGTGTGGAATGAGGACATGTGGACATCTGTTTCCAGCTACTTTCAATTTTTCTCTCTGTTTTTTCCCTTCTGTATCAAAAGAAGAATCAATATGATAAGAAACATCAGATTATCTAATACAAATACTTAAAATTCACTCTTAAAAGAGAATATTTGTTCTTGAGCTACCACGAGTCCATTCTATGGCCACTACGCACGTTACTACAGAGGGCAGAGACCCGTATGGGGCAACTGGCTGCTGTAACTGTGGTTGCAGTGGCATGAGAAGTGGATTACACAGTGGGCAATAAAGATTCTCAGCACATCACAAAGCCCAACTAATTCCTTAAATACTGGAAAAAGAACAGGATTTAGGTTAACATGATTATTGCCTTATTGTACAAATTGATTAATAAAACTAGTCATTAATGTCCATCACCGATTTTTATTTGTTTTGTTCAATGTTATGTTTAGAGAATATTTTATATGTTGAAGTAAGATAACTAAAGGATTATTCATTTAGCTATGTTTACATTTTACATTACAGATAATGTCATGAACAATTAAAAACATATCTCTTATTAGTAGAAGTTAGTTAGGTAAATTATTTTTACTATAACAAAAAACGTGACTTCAAGCCTTGTTCTTGTGTATTTCTGTATGTTTTCCAGACACGTATGCATTGTTATTTTTTGGGGGGAGATGGTCTCGCATTTTTGCCCAGGATGGAATGCAGTGGCACGATCATAGCTTACTTTTAATATTGAATTCCTGAGCTCAAGGGGTCCTCCCAGCTCAGCCTCCTGAGTAGCTGGGCCTACAGGCACTTGCCACCATGCCTGGCTAACTTTTTATTTGTATTTTTTGAAGAGACAGGGTCTTGCTATGTTGCCCAAAATGAGCTGGCCTTGAATCTCTGGGTTCAAGTAATTCTCCTGCCTTGGTCTCCCAAAGTTCTGAGTCACCATGCCTGCTCTGCATTCTTTTTTTTTTTATTTTTTTTGAGATGGAGTTTCATTCTTGTTGCCCAGGCTGGAGTGCAATGGCACAATCTTGGCTCACTGCAACCTCCAACTCCTGGGTTCAAGCAATTCTACTGCCTCAGCCTCCTGAGTAGCTGGGATTACAGGCACGTGCCACCATGCCAGGCTAATTTTTGTATTTTTAGTAGAAATAGAGTTTCATCATGTTGGCGAGGCTGGTCTTGAACTCCTGACCTCAGGTGATCTACCTGCCTCGGCCTCCCAAAGTGCTGAGATTACAGGCGTGAGCCACTGTGCCCAGTCAGCCCTGCATTATTTTTCATAACACAAAAAACAATAGCGTCCTTTTTGAAGGGACTAAGGAGCACTCGTGAGTAAAGTCAGAACACCCACTTTTCTTCTCACTGACCGTGTTCTAGGTATGGCTCCTGGGGAGCACGAGCCCAGGGCTGAGGAACAGGGACTTTTTCTTTTCATTAAGCCAATTCTGCACGTAAGTACCTGTGAGTGTAGTTTCCCAGCGCTTTCTAATCAGTTCTTCCAAAAGTTCTACCATATTTGTCCAGACGTGATCAAACACTTCCGCCATCACGGCATCTTTGACACACTCATGAGGGGAAACAGGAGGAAGTCCGAGTTTGCGCCTTTTCCTACCAGGCTGAGCTGGTTTTTGTTCGAGACATTCATCATCACTAAGAATAAAAACCCACTCCAATTACTAAAATATCAAGGCTTAGAGTTAAAATAATTCTATCTACACACATTCATGTATGTACATTTATACATATATTAATAAACATTCTTCGTTAAACAGCATTGTTCTTTTTCAACATATACATATTTTGTCAATTACACATGAATAAAACTGGGCGGGGGGAACAAACCAAGAAACCAAGTCTTGGTTTCACTGATCTTTCTCTTTTTCTAGTCTCTTCATTTATTTCGGCTCGGAGCTTTGTTATTTCCTTCCTTCTACTAAGTTTGGGCTTAGTTTGTTCTTTTTCTCATTCCTTCAAGTATAAAGTTAGGTTGTTTATTTCAGATATTTCTTTTTTCTCAATGTAGGCATTTATTGCCATAGGCTTCCCTCTTAGAGCTGCTTCTACTATATCCCGTAAGTTTGGTTTTAATATGTTGTGTTTCCATTTTAATTTGTCTCATTATGTTTTTGATTTCCCTTTTGATTTCTTCTTTGACCTACTGCCTGGTTGTTGAGGAGCGGGTTGTTTAGTTTACACATATTTGGGAGTTTTCTAGTTTCCTTCCTGTTACTGACTTTCAGTTTCGTACCACTGAGATCAGAAAAGATGCTTGATTTCAGTCTTCTTAAATTTGTTAAGACTGGTTTTATCAGTGTTACTTTTTAATATGCCAATTTTCAATCATGGGGCAAATTTTTATCATGTAATAGTTGTAGTTTTTGATTAAGAATAAAATATGAATTTAGTGCAGAGGCAGGGACTCTCCTTAGGCCCTTTTGGGCAGCCAGGGATGGGGAATCTGGAGCCCCCAGCACCAGGACTGCGAGGAGCCGTGTCTGCTTCCCGCACTTCTTCACTGCTCCCGCACAGGCGCTGCCTGCTGGGAATCCCAAAGCTCTGGGAGTGCATTACTCTCAAAAGAACAGAAATCTTCTGGGTGAGTAAAAAATACACAAAACACTTAATGTTCATAC